GCCTACCTTAAGCTGGTATATCAAAGCCTACCTTAAGCTGGTATATCAAAGCCTACCTTAAGCTGGTATATCAAAGCCTACCTTAAGCTGGTATAGTTGTAGGGCACCACTGGTTGGTGACTTACCTCTTTACTTTCCCTCGGCTCTTTCTGTCTGTCTTATTTTTTCCCAGCACTAAATTACTATCATCGTGTCGATGTGCTTTTCATTACTCAAACAAACATGTAAAAACAAGCAAACAACTATCTGTAAGCCACTCACATGTGACGTAACAGTGCTCTCGTGAACATCCTTACTGTAGACCCATCTCTCGCACGGTGCCGTCTGGTTCCTGTCAAAGATCAGCTGACTCGTCTCGTTGGCACCGCTACGGTTTGACCTGGGCCCTATCAGGGATGATGAAACGAAAAACAAAACAGAAACGTTTCTCAAACCGTGGTATTTCTTAAAAACTAATGTAAAACTTAGTCCTTCATGCTGTGTACCAGATTATATACATCATTACAAGTAAGTGTGAACTGTATTCGTGAGCTTCAAGATGTTTCTTATTTAAATAGATTAACCATGGCCCACTTGATAGAAGAGGTGGTGGTATATAAGTATGTGGTACATAGAAAGAGAGAAGGTAAACATGTACAACACTTTTTCCTGTGGCAGAATTATAGAACTCATTGACTGTTGCAAAAGCCACAAGTCATCTTTACCTGTAGTCTTTTTTTGTTGTAATATTCTCCTTTTGAGGATGCATTGGTTAATGCAAGACATTGACGAACGAACAATAATAATATTATTATTATTGTTACTTGTGAATAATCGAGACTGACTATGAGGAATGACATTGTTCAGACTTTCAGAGGACATTTAGACTGTTTGTTCTTTTGGTCGAAGCCTTGATATATGTGAGGCATCGTGATGAAATCAGTCTCTGGTCAAAATAATGAAATCGAAGAGAAAGGCAATTTCCCATAGTTTGGCAATTGCTTTATATATACAGTCAAACCTGTGTAAGACGGCCACCCATTGTCAAGGAGAAAAGTGGCCGTATGAGACAGGTGGCCGTCTTAGGCAGGACTGATCAAGATGAAGAAAACAAACCATTCCCATCTGAGGTCCCAATCGAAAGTAGCCGCATTGTTGTTGTTTTTGATGTTGTTGTTGTTGGTGGTGGTGGTTTGTATTTTGTTCGTAATTTTTATTTTGTTGCTGATTTTGCACAAGGGTGACAATAAAATGAAATGTATCAGACGAGGAAGACCGAGTGCCACGGTAAAACAAGCACATGGGTCGCCACCACTCGGAGAACGAGCGACGCTTCTGTAACAAGTTCATGTTGACGTCCATTGTTGCTTTGTTACAGACTGGGTAAACAGTGACCACTCATCTCACTTACGATTTGTGTATGAGTTCTGGGCGGGGCTTATGGGTTATGAGGGATCACACGCTGACCTCTCCAGCAGCTGAAAATTGGTAGCTATTGGTCAACAGTGGGAGGGGCCTACACAACATGATCGGTTGGAGGGACTACTTAACAACAACGACAAGTGATTGAATTGTGACGGTTCGCCCACAATGCCTGGGGCTAATGCACAATGTATGGCAAAACGTAATGGAGTCACTAAGGTGGCCGTCTTAGACAGGTGTTATTGCTTAGTGTGATAGGAGTTGTATGTTAAAATATGGTGGCCGCGGCCGCGTTGGACAGGTGACCGTTTTATACAGTTAAATTACATAGAAAAAACGCAAGGGGGGAAATGGAAAGTGTCCGTTTGTACGGGTGGCCGTCTTATAGAGGTGTCCGTCAGGGCAGGTTTGACTGTATATATAGGTTTTTTTTTACTCAACACCTTTTATGATCTTTTTGTTATAAAAACATATTTCATTATGAATGTTACTGAAAATCGTTGATTAATGGCTCAAAATAAGTAAATTTTCAGTTTTCAAGGATTCTCAAGCTGTCGTGTGTAACTCTAAACCCCTGGCCTAACCCGAAACCTGAAACAAAAACCCGTCAGTCCAAAGCAACAAAGCCAAACCCACCGAGTGAGTTCTTCGCGCTCGGCCTGTAGGTATAACAGCGTGAGTATCCACCAGTCTTCTCGTCCCGCGGCAGACTGGCATTGATGAGGTGGGCGTGGTGCTCACTCTGAACCGCATACGTGTCGCTGGGCAATCCCGGAACAGCACAGCTTGAATAGTGGTTATGGGGAGGCGATAAGAAAGAAAGGGGGAGGGGAGTTTAGTTGTTTTGTTTTTTTTGCTTTTTAAAAATAGAATTATGTGTATGTGTAGGTATGTGGAGTGGGTGGTTTGGTGGAGTAAGTCCGATCTGTCCAGCAGAATGTCGTTCTATGTATATGTTGGATTGTGGGCTGATGGGTGATTGGAGGGAGCCACTTGTAAGTCGATTTTTTAAATGTCCGGCTATATACAGAGAGATCTAAAAAAAACAAAAACAAAAACCCCACCCCCAACCCCCACACAAAAACAAAACAAAACCGGCGTTTGTGGTGTAGCGGTCAGGCGCTTCGCTGTCTCTCGCTGGAGACCCGAGTTCGATTACCCAGTAGGGAGCGTTTTGTGGGTTTTAAAAAAATCGAGATGCTGTATCCAATTAAGTGCTGGGCGGCTAGGTTCTCGATTATTGAAAGCTGGGAATCGTAGGAATCGATTCCGAAACCAATTACTTACTTTCTAATGATATAATTTCTTCCGGTAGTTACCTGTTTGGCTCAAAACATCTTCAAGATTTGAGATGACCTTGATTTCGGAAGGTTACAAACCTTCAACTTTTATTTTTCAAAAATAAATTCTTTAAAAAAAAAGAAGATTTTAGTGATTGAAGGAGCTGATAACTGTTGGTTTACGTAAAAATGATTCGGAACTTTCCT